ACTTTTGTGGATTTTAGCCTTTTGAGAAAAATAAGGGTCTATAACAAATAGAACACCAAAAACAGCCAACGACCAGCCAAACTAAAGTTCATACTAATATAAATTGATTTAAACAAATAAACAAATAAATAGGTTAGAAAGGTAAACTCTTCCTTACAATAAAATATTACCTAATGTATAAAGCAGAGATAATGGAGTTAGAAAATCACCATTTTTTTTCAATTATCATAATAATACTTAAGACAGTCAAGAATCATGAGTGATTATAAAAACTAGTATGTGAGTGTTTGATGTGGGACAGGTTATTTATAGAATCTCAAAGTATCTCCCGACACACTGTCAGTTGACAACAGAAAAATGGTAACTTTCCACTAGAAAAGTTCAATGGAAGACATTAACTTAGACAAAGAATCAAAATCAGCATCATCCATAATGGGGGCAAATCATGATAGTGTGCCTCCTGATACAATGCACTGAGAAGGATCACTTGTATCATATTTCTGTCCCAGGACCATGTGTTCTCTAAAATAACTGTCTACTGCTCTTCAAAAATATCAATACCATGAAAGAGAAAGAAAGGCTGAGAAACTGGTCCAGATTAAATAGACACAGCAATCCAGTGCAGTACATGGTCTTGAATTTGATCCTGGACCAGGAAAAACATTTCTATAGATTACTTCACTGAGTTAGTTGGTGACATAATTTGACTATGGTTAGGTAAGAGGATGTTCTTGTTTTTAGGATATAATATGCTGAAATATTTAGGGCTGACGGGGAAATAATGTTTATTTTACTCTCAAATGCATGTGGGTGAAGGAAGGAAAAAGGGAAGGAAAGGAAAGAGGGAGAAGGAACGATGAGGAGGATGAGAAGGAAGAGGAATAGTAAGGAAAGGAGGAGGGAGAAAGTGAATAAGTGAGAATGACAATATGTAATAAAGCCAACGTGATAAGGTGTTGATGGTTGGTAGATCTGAGAAAGCAATTTTATTCTTGCTGTTTTTTGCTAAGTTTGAGGTTATTTCCAAGTAAATTGTTAAAGAAGAAGACATTATGCATGCATGTTCATAAACGTCACTTCTGGTTGTTTTAGGGAACGGTGGTCCCTGAACTGCCCATGCCTGAAGGCAGGGGCTGTTCTCCAGCGCAGAACCTAGCGTCTGGGAAAAGTAGGTATTTTCTAAATATTCGTTGGATATTTGCGTGGACCCCAAGGCCCTGAATTCCTTTGAGCTGTAAAATATTTACCTTCCAACAATTGCAAATACCAGTTGTAAAGAGATATTTTGCTATTTCCAAGTTCACTTGCACTAGTCATATAACACAAGTTAGTTGTAGCTTCTGGGATGTAAGCAGGGATATCTTAGAGGCAGAATGCCTGCATCTCTGCACTCTTCTTCCTGTAATCTGGCAGGAATATAAATGTAATGGTTGTCTGAGAGGCCCTTTTAAGCCACACTGGGGAAGCCATGTGCTAAGAACTTTAGAACGAAAAGGTGTGTGAGTCCTGGAGTTGCCATGCTAGTCTTGGGCCTCTCACCTCAAGCTTCTTTCTGTGTGAAACGTAAATGTCTATCTCCTTTAAACCATTGTTCTTTTGCTTTTTCCTTCATTTGCAGTTGAAGCTAATCCTAAGTGATACACCATGCTTTCTAGAAATTATCACTGTTAAGTTTTTGTTTCTCTGTGAAGCTTTGTATTCGGTTTGCCCCATACGGACATTAAGATAGAAGTGCTCTGATTTTATTTGTTTATTTTCCCTGTTTTTCCCCAGTAGAATTTTTCTTATTTTGATGTGGATTCCATTTCTGTACTTGAGCTGGTGGGTCAGTGTCTGTGGCTTTGGGTATTTTTACTGCTGAGGCTACCTTCTTTTTATTTTTTTTCTGTCCTGGTAAACCTTCTCCATTTTGCAAATTGCTAAACTGGTCTGAAAAGATTGTGAGAACTGGCTTTCCTAGGTGATTTCTTGTCCTGACCAACCCAGCTGGAGACCAGATATGCAGAGGTAAGCACTTAGAATAATCGGAAAATAGGAAATTTTAACTATTTCCTGTTGCCAGAAACATTTTACTTCAGTCGAAGGAGGTTTTTATAGTGCTGGTTCTGCCTGGTGAGTTTTGTCGAGCAAATCTTTGTACTTTTTGGAATCCAGTCATGTTTTTATTTGTTCTGTGGACAGTTCTTCCTCTGCAACTATTTATTGTTACTCAGGTTTGTGGCATAGTCAGTCTCACAGATAATAATGGGTGTGTGTGCCCACAGCTCAGCATGAATAGAGTGATTGACTTCCAGCTTGTTTATCGTTAGACTGGTATGTAAGCAAGGAAGCTTACCTCCTCAATTATGTGTATGTGTGTTTCTGTGTAGTGAAATATAGGAACTTGAAAATGGACCTTGTAGGGATATGCATGATATTCCATTATTTCCTTTAAAGCAATTATTTTTCAAATGTTACGTGAATGAGGATGGTATTTACTTGCATAATTCCGTAGTTATGTTATTTCATGACCTGAACGCCAGCAGCTCTGCAGTTTGAAGCTTGATTTCCTTCTGATAGGCTGGCTGTATTGGTTCCCTGGCTAATATGAATTTTAGAGATAATTGATAATTACCTAAATGTAAAGGATTGCATTTGGAACTGCTGTGGGTGAGGTCTTCCAACTTTTTAAACTCTAGCTAGTCCAGACAGGAATCAGTGATTACTATTACATTTTGCAAATTCTATTTTTATTTCAACAGAAAAAGAGAAGAAATAACTTTTATTTGTTCAGGCTTACTAAAGAAGTCCTTGTCACAGTTTGGTCTGTAAAACAAAACAAACAGAACACCAAAAACAGCCAACGACCAGCTAAACTAAAGCCAAAATGAAGGAGGCAGAATAAAACTTAAATATTCCCCTGGCCAAAATGAACGTGGTATAATGGGAACAGGGTAGGACTAGGAACTGAGAAATTTTCATGGAAGTGTTAGTCCTAGTAAGTACTGTCTTTATAACTTTGGGCAAATTACATAAACTTCTGAGCCTCAATTTCCCCATTCAGTAAAATGAGTCTCATAAAATCTACCTCACTGACTTCTTCTGAGTGTGAAATGAGGTCATATATGTAAAGTGTTTCATAAACTGTACAATAGGTTCACGTATTTTTTAGCAGTCTGCTAATCAAAGGCATGGCATAGCTGCCCCAGGCCCTCAATGCTGATTTTCTTGGTAAGCAGCACTGTAATTTGGACTCTAAGTAATAGTAACTGTTAAGAATTTGTCAGAATTTTTAATGTAATGCGCACAAATTGATTCTGATTAAAACAAGTGGCATCTTCATACCTTTGAGATTATGGTTTTTGTTAGTAAAGGCTGATGAGAGGGAAAGTAGGCAAGGCAATACAAGTTGCCTTTCTCGCCTGACCTTGGGAATGAGGAGTAAGAAATACTTGAGCTTGTATTGACCACTGCATCTTTTACCAGGAGGCTTGGAGTGTTGCAAGAAACATCATTTTCAACTTGTTTGGGAGTAGGGAGGCATATGGCCAAGAGACAAGCTTTATGAAGTCATGTGCTCCAAAGGGAAAACAGAAAAAGGGGAGTGCAAGAGACTTAGTCATGCAGAAGCGTTTCACACAACAGGTGGGCTTTTAAGAGTGTTGTCAAGGAGAAGATGCAAATGCCTTAATTAGTTTGGACAGCTCTTTTAAGTGTAAAGAAAAACATGTCTACTGGTGGAGTTGGGCTTTGCAACACAGCAGACCTGTGTGTGGGATTTGGATCTTAGGCAACTGAAATGCAAGTAACACTCTCTATTACCTGAAGCTTCTGCTTATGGAGTTTTGAAGTTCTCCAGGATGGTTTTCCTATTTCTCTGAGCACTAAAGTGGCTAATGCCATGGCAGATGTCATACCTAATGCTGCAGAAGCAGAGCATAAGGTAGGGAGGATTTTATAGGAACTTTCTGATGGGAATCCAGAGAGCAAAGCCTGGGACATGAAGCTCTCAATAAGGAAGTGAGAAAGGAAGAGTCCATGGTTTTACTTTTAAAAAAGTAGAAAATTGCTTTTGCAGATTAGACAATATGCGAGGATTGTATCAATAAAAGAAATGTCTTGTGTTTGTAATAAATACATTATTTGGGGGGCTACAAAATAAAATCCCCAAAGAGGGGAAGATAATTAATTTTCTTATGAGAGGTTACCTAATTTTGATTGCGTTAAAATGAAGAAAAATTAAAGAATTCTAAAGAATTGAATCTCTCTCTCTCTGTCTTGTTTTCTTTCTCTCTCTCTTTCTAAAATGAAGTGGTTGGCAGAGTTGGAATTTTGGAAAATAGGGTCATGAGTATTTGTTGAGGAAAACAGTCATGCTTAGTAGCTTTGAGGGGACTCCCTATAGACAGACTTGATTCCTAGGTCCAGTTTTGACAGCTGGTTGCAGTTGTTTGGATGATGATAAGAATCAGGAATACTTGGTTCTGTATTTGGAAAAAGTGATGCCAGACTGCTTAAAAATGTGACTGGAAAAAGGCTACTGAGTATGGGGTTCTATGGACTGTGCTGACTGCTTTAACATGGGATCCTGGTTTGTCTGTCTCACCTTAAAATCCCAGGTCTCATTGAAACAGTGATTAAATGAGGTTGCATGAGTTTTCTGTTGAGAACTAAAAAATAACATATTTTGTTTATACAATGCTGATTTTTGCTTTATTCTTATGTTTATATTAGAAATGAGTAATTTAGTCCCAGAGAAATTACACGTGGGGAGTTCTGCCAAGACCCAGTGCCAAACGTGAATTTTGTGATGAAAGTATCCAATATTAACCTTTGGTTGACAACAACCAAGTTAAGATTATTTTTTTTAACTTTAGATAATCTGAAAAGAAAGCATTATAACCAAAATGTATGAGCTAGGAAAAGCTGAGTTACTAAAATGGGCTTTGAATGGTGTAGACGTGACCTTGATTGTGTAAAAATAAAAGATTTTCATTTCTCTTGGTATCGAAGGAATGGAGATAAAGATGATTGAGATTAATACTAAGCCTCTTTGTTTTATTTGATTAGTTCCCTTGGGTGGTGGGATTTACTGTGAGGCAGATATTTTGTTCTGTTCTTATTTTTCATCTTTGGGCTTAATATTCAAATGTCACGTATCTATTGAATGTTAGCTACAGAAAAAAATTTTTAAAGGTGATACTCATTTATTAATTCAACAAATATTTCTTGAGCACCTACTCTGATCCAGATCCTATACCAGGCATTGTCACTGTCTCCTGGGAGCACACAGTCTTCAGGATGCAATAGACCTATGGATAAGTAATTACAGCACTGTGCAATCAGTGCTATAATAAAGGCAGAATGGAGAATTATGAACCTTGTGCTAGACAGGAACCCTTCACAAAGAAGGTGATGTAACCTATTTAAGGATTGATATGGTTTGGCTCTGTCCCCACCCAAATTTCATCTTGAGTTATAGCTCCCACAATTCTCATGTGTGGTGGGAGGAACCTAGTGAGAGATAATTGAATTATGGAGGTGGGTCTCTTCCATGCTGTTCTCATGAGAGTGAATAAATCTCACAAGTTCTGGTGGCTTTAAAATGGTAGTTTCCCTGTATAAGCTCCCTCCTTGCCTGCTGACATCCATGAAAGATTAACTTGCTCCTTCTCGCCTTCCATCATGATTGTGAGACCTTCCTGTGGAACTGTTCATCCATTAAATCTCTTTCTTTTGTATATTGCCCAGTTTCAGGTGTGTCTTTATCAGCAATGTGAGAATGGACTAGTATAAGGATGAATAGGCATTTAGTAGGAAGAGAAGATTACCCTAGGCTCAGGGAAGACCCTGCACAGAGCTATGAACTCAGGCTGTTCCAGACAAGAGTGAGCCGAAGGGTCGGAGGAGGACCGGGGTGAGAGCATGAAAGCACAACTGGGCTTACAGCACAACATTTTATAGGCTGCTTCTGAGCATGGAGTTCATTTTTTTAGGCAGTGGGAAACTACTGGGGGCTTATGGGTGACAAAGGACTCAGATTCATTTTAGGATGATTCTGCTGGTGGTATAAAACATGTATTTACAAGCAGGGAAAGTTTTAAGGAGGCTGTTGGAAATGGTATAGGCAAAAGGGGATAAAGATATCATCTAAAGCAGTGACTTTGGGGTTGAGGAGATGGCAGAGGTTTTGAGTGAGGGTGAAGAGGCAGAATGTGTTGACAGCTGATTAGAGAGGACAGGAAGTGTAGAGGAGGGTCCTGAGGTTCCTAGTGTAGGCAGCTGAGTGGAACATGAGGCCAGATATGGAGTCAGCCCGTTTTACCAGTAGAAGGAGCAGATTTCAGGTGGCAGTGGGATAGGGTGGGTGCAGAATCACGGGTTTTTCTTTTGGACCTATAACTATTTTAGCTTGTGGACATGCAGTTCTTGTTATGTGGAATGAGCTGAGTCATAGCAAGTGCTGTGAGTTTTGATTTTAGCTGGCCTCTAATTAGGTAGAACAGAAAAAACTCTGTGTTAGTTGTTGGATTAAATATTTTTCCACCTCATGATGTAGAGGTAGAGATCTCCACCTTTAAAAATAGCTGTTTACTAGTCAGACATCATGACTCCCACCTGTAATCTCAGCTACTTGGAAGGTCAAGGCTGGGGTATCACTTCAGGTCAGGACCCTGAGTCTAGCCTGGGTGAAATAGTGATGTCGTGAGACCCCCTTCTCAAAAACAGAAACATTGAGTGATAGCTCTGTACCTGATACTGTGCTAAAGAGGTACCTGTTGTTATAGTATTTTACAAGAAAGAAAAAAGGTACTTATAGAGGTTAACTAATTCATCAAAAATGGTAACAATGGGAGCAAGTCCATTCTGTATTATATGCAAGCATTTTGTTATATTTGATTTTTGATAAAAGGTAACTTTTGTAAGAAAGTAGGTGAAAAAACTGAAAAGATTCTATTTTAACTTCAGCAGAGAAGTGGTTAAGTGCTTTGCTTCTTATTTGGTGATTTAGGTTGGTTATTATGACTTTTCTGCCCATATGGTGAAAATAAAGCTTGATTTACACATGCTGTGAATTTGTACTACCTAATAACTCACCAACTTTTCAGTAAAAGATATACTTTGAGTAGCTTTCAGAATTATAAAAGAAGAGTTGGACCTCTTAAAAACCTATACTCACATAAAGAATACTTTTTCATTCTGTTTTTTTTTTTTGTTCAACACTTATTTCTGTGGCTAGAATAATAGCATTTTGTAGGCTTTTCTGGGTAAAATAAATTTTCCTGTTGGACTGAGGGCAAAATGGAAACAGACCTAGCCTACCAAAGTGTAAAAGTCAAGCCTCCACATGTTAAAGCTGATTAGCCAGTAACTAACTGCTAATTTAACTGCTTTTTTAAAAAATACAAATCAACGGTCCTGTTATTGCAGAAAGATAACACAATACAGAGTCCTAAAATATGTCATCCAGTATGGTCAGTGCAAACTAAAAAAATTCTGGCAGGAAAATGAAACATAAACAAGAGAAAAAGGAGTCAATGAAAATAGATCCTAAGAAGACACAGCTGTGGGAATGGCAAGTACTTTAAAAACAGCTACTATTAATTTGTCAGAGGAACTAAGGATTTTGTCATCAGGAGTGAACAAATGGAAAATCTCAACTGAATAATAAAAAGTCTACAAAAGGACCAAATAGAAACTCTAGAATTGAAAAGTAAGATATCTAAAATAGAAATTTTTGCAATATAGGCCTGACAGCAAATTGAAGAAGAAAGAAGAAAAGGCCAGTGAATGTGAAAATGGATCAATAGATACGACTCCAGTTGAAGAATGTAGAAGAAATAAATAGAATTAACAGAGCCCTATATGGGACACATCAAGCAATATAAGATACATATGATTGCAGTCCCAGAAAGAGACAAGAAAGAGACTGGCATATGAAACAATATTTTAACAAATAATGGATCAAAGATTCCCAAATTTGGTGAAAAATATTAACTTGAAGATTCAAGAAGCTTTGCATACCCTAAGTGGGAGACATACAAAGAAAAGCACACTTGTTTTTTGGCCAAATCATAGTAAAAATGCTGAAAGTCAAAGAAATGAGGTAATCATGACAACAGTGAGAAAAACAATTCATTATATACAGAGCAATGATTAATGTTCACTAACTTATCAGAAATAATGGAAAGCAGAAGGCAGTGGCAATGACTTGTTTTAAGTGGTGAAAGAACAGAACAATCTGTCAACCCAGAACTCTATATCCAGAGGAGATGCACCACAGACATGAAAACAACATGTTTTGCTTACTTAGTTTGAGAACATCTGAGTTACGCAAAGCTAAGCAGATTTCAGTGCTGTATGACTTCTCAGAGAAGTTCTTAAGAAAAGGATGGCACATTCCTTGATATCCAAGTTTTTGTGGACCATAAATAATTGATTCACGGAATGTCTCAGGGGATTCATTTTATTTGTAAAACATTTCTAGAAATACTAAGCTTCAGGAATGGAATTTGATATTTATTCTTCATTATTTTCATGATATTGCCAGGATGATTTTGGAAAATAATTAGCAGTGTATCTGTTTGTGTCTGTAATAATGAAAATGTGGTGTTTTACCTACGTTTACTTTTCTTTATTCTAATAACACTTGCAGAGTTGAATGGCTTTGGGCTGTTGCCAGGTGAAATACTTTCCAGGAGGGCGAAGTGGTTCAGTGTTGCCTTGTTGGACTATTTAGATATAGATGAAAATAGAACTCCCACCTAGAGTTTTCAATGCATATTTTATGAGTATAATAGTGCCAAGAATATAGGTTGAGTTGGATTACAATAAAATCATTATATTTTATGTCTCTGTCTTGGATTTATGTGTACTCTTAATGTGTAGTTTAAACATGAAGTGTTACAAATTAATGCTACCAAAAGCAAGTTGTAAAAGTAGTCCAGAATTACATTGTAAATGACTTAAGCCATCTAATTAAAATAAAATTTCAATGTCTTGAAATAATTTAGTGAAGGATTAGTGACTTAAATTTCACTGCTGCTGAACATGACCTTCTCTTTGAATGTATTAGAAAATGGAGCTTAAAAGATCATCATTCGAAAGGTTTATTGTGAAATTTTTTTGTCTTCATCCCCTATTCTTAAATCCAGTCATATCTCCCTAGATGTCTAGCATAGTTCCTTTCCACAGCAGAGCTTGAAATCTCTACATAGCCAACATTGAGGCTCCCAGGCTCCCACCACATTAGTGTTGATTGACACAGGGAGTAGTGCTTTGTCTTCTTGTCTGTGACTGTAAAGGGCAAAGTGGACATTCCTCTCTTGGTGTTTTTCCCTCACTCATTTCCTCCAGGAATTTGTGAGTCTCTGTCTCTTTTCCCTCTCAACCAAAGACTTCCAACCAACGACTATAAACTTCTTCTACAGCAGTGGTTCTCTAATTGGTCCTCAGATCTTCAGCATCTGTCACTTGGAAACTTGTTATAAATTCAATTTCTTAGCCCCTCCCACCAGCTTACTAAATCTGAAACTCTGGGAGTGCAGCCCAGCAATCTGTGCTTTAACAAGCTTTCCCAGAGATTCCGAGGCTCTGTGAAGTTTGAGAACTTGTTCTCTATAGTAAGAAAAAACTTTTGAATTATCTTTTTCATCTTTTTGTTTGACAACAAAGGCAAAGCAGAATTTAAGAGTTCTTGGTGGTAATGGTAGTGTGGTGTTGAGTAAACCACTTTTCAAATTAAATGATGCATTTTAAATCATAACAATAATTAGTAGTGGTATCTTCACAATATTCTTGAGGTCATTACCAATGCTATTGCTGTGTTACTGTAAGGAAACAGATTGAGGGAAGAAGTTGGCCAATGATGCTGCTGGTTTGACCAGTACTAGCCCCCAGGCTGCAGCTCACTTGGTAATGCTCTCTGAGATATCATGTAATGTCTGTCTCCTCTTATCGCTGCTCATATCTTCCCTGTGAGGCCAGAGACTTGTTTCTTTTTAAAAATGCAAGAGGTGGAGTGAAAGTTCATGTCTTTATAGATGAACTCCTGTCTTTTTTACCCATTTGTAGACTATCCCCACTCCCAAACTAATAGCCAAACTACCTTGATCAAGGAGAGGGAATGCTGTACGTTATTCATGGTGCAAACAAATGTTTATGGCCTCTCTTCTTATAAGTACTGTGTGCTAATCGGTTGTGCCACTGGAGCTGCTATGGTCTCTTTCGTTTCAAAAGTTTATCTCTTTCTGGAAGTAATGAATTCACTGGCCAATTTATCTTTGAGCTCTGGCTTGCAGTTTTTGAAAGTTTCCAAGCTCAACTGAGCAATGAGTGGTTTGGCACTTTAAACCGCTAATATAGTATAAAGTTGGATGATTTTGAAAACAATTCATGCTTGAATAAAGTCTTTATCCTACTGAGTTATGGTCCCCCACCCCACCCTTTTAAAAAACTTTACTGAGTGATTAGAGGCAGCCTTTCAAATTCCACTCATGATAATTGAGGGATTTATCTGACCTCCAAGATGTATTTATTTTCTTGACCATCAAGGAAATAACGTTTTAAAGAATTAAGACAATCCATATTAAATGGAGAGAAAGGAACTACCTAAAATGAAAATGTGATCATATTTTAACATAAAAGTGAAAACTTATAGTAATCTTCAGTTACTAATTAGTTTGATGCTAGCTCCACTTTTTCTACCATGTAGATTTCATTTAGGAGAGGAGAGTAAAAGAACATTAATTAAAATTGGAATGATTAATTTCATTGTGTGTCAGTATAAATTAATTTCAGTGTCAGTATAAATTAACTCCAGTGTTAGCAATTCCATAGGCTTCCTTTCCATGGTTTACTACAGTAATTGAAAATTTAATCACTCATTCTGATATCAGAATTCAAAAAAGCATTTATACGTGCTTGTGTGTATGCGATGGGTAAAGGACATGAAAATGTATAGATATTTAAGAAATGTGACTTGTACTCCAATTTTTTATTTATGTTAGGATAGCCTTTGATTTTAAGCAAAATATCTATTTAGAATGTTTCTCCTTCACCCCCTTCTCTAACTAGGTCCCTTTCCTTCTTTCTCTCGTTGCTTACGATTAGAAACAAATGAATAGCTTTGTACAGGCCAGAGATTAAAAGACTTTTTTTTTTCTATGATACAGAGTGATTTTTGTGCAAATAATTGCTATCTCTTTCATCAAAACAGTGTTCTGTCTAGAGAATAATGTTTGTTAGGTCAGTTTGTTGTGGCGGTATTTATAGGGGATATGTTTGAATGAATGAAAATGGTAAGTGGGTATGTTCACATAACATTTGTTTGCTTCTCTCGTCCACCAAGGGAATTCATAACTATAGTGCTCTTTTTATGTGTTGACTGCCTCTTTCTGCAACATTGACAGGTGTTGGTGACTTCATATTTTTTCCTAAGTTCTTGAACATATTCACAGAAAGAATAAAAAGTTTAGTTTGGGTTTCTTTTGTTATTCTCTGGATGCAAAAACATTCCCTGGTTCCTAAAATTGATAATTTTCTTAAATTACTCATGACCTACCATGTAGTTCTGCTGTTTGTTTTAATTTCTTAATATGGGGTAATATTTTACAAGATTTTCAAAATACTTAGATCCTCATCTATATTAGAAGTCAGCGTGTGTGTGTGTGTATGTGTGTGTGTGTGTGTGTGTGTGTGTGTGTGTATGTGTGTAAAGGAGAAGGGAGTAGGCTAGGCCTTGTGGGACACACTACCTGATGTTGTAGTATGAAACAGCTATAAATAATACATGAGCAAGTGGGTGTGGCTGCATTTACATAAACCTTTAATATATAAGAGGTGTTGTGCTGGTTTGGAACTGGGTGTAGTTTATGTATGCTATGATAATTACTGTGGCTTTATCTGTCTTCTGTAATCCACCTTCTTCTTTCTACCTTGAGATAATCAAATGCTTTCTTCCTCTTCCTCCTCCCCCTCCTCTTCCTCTTCTTCTGCTTCTTCCTGCTTCTTTCTTCTTCATTTTTCCTCAAGTTACGTTCTCTACATTTGCAAACTTTCTTATCTGCTCTCTCTCTGCTCTTCTTTTAAGATTCCTTTGTAAGATGTGAAGATAACCTGGTGGGAGCCTCTTTCCCCATTGATAATCAGGGTTTATTCAGTTGGTCTCACTGTCCAGACTGGGCTGCTCCTTTTTTACCATTCCAGGTAAGTTCCTCCTGAAATTGCACTCCCAGGAGAAAAGGGTGACCTTCTCAGAAGGTGGTTTTGCTCCTTGCCAGTGGGAGAACCATCTTTATGAAGCTCTGACTGACCACTGTATCTGGAAAGGAATGCCCAACTCTCCATATCTGTTAGAAGTTTCTTGACCTGCCACCATGAGGTGGCCCCTGTTCCTCCCTCTTCTTCCTTCTGCTCCTCACTTTTCTTTGGGGGTGAGTTTATGTTAAGGAGACCTCTGTGCTTAAAAGAGGGCCTCTTTCTTAAAAGTTTGTACCTGAATTGACCCTAAGGGTGACTGTCTAAATGCAACATGATTTTTCCAAAGCTGAAAACCATTGCTAATGTGGTCATAGAGTAAGTTGTTGGTAGACTTGGATACTCATCTAGCCTCAACAGGTCATCTTCGGGGTCATGTGCTGCCTCACATCTCAGGGAGTCTTGTTCCAAGATAATATTCATACACCTTCTCCAAAATACAGGCTTTGATTTTCCACTCCATTAAAGAACTACTGAAGAATAAATGTCTTCGTGTATTTTGCCAAGTTTGCCACAAGCTGCTTTTTGCATTCAGCTGCCCATGGGTCTTTTTTATTCCCCGCCTGCCTGGCCCCCCATCCCGAGATGCCTGGAAGCCATCATGTTGAATCTCTTTCCATGGAGGTCTGTTTGGCAGACGTCTCTTCTTGCTTCAGCCTGGAATGCCGATTAGCCAGTTTCTTGGAATGATTTTAATCTCTCATCTCTCCAGCCCACCCATTTGAAGTAGCTAGCAGGACCACATTGTCACTGCATGAGCTCACCCTTTCCTTGCTCAAGAACAATGATGATACTTGTCAGTGATTGCAACAGTGGAGGAAAGTGTCGGTACCAGTGTTCCAGTGACTATTTCAAGGATTAATTTTAGCATTTCTAGAAAGAAGTAGTTCAAAAGTCAGGAAAAAAACATGAAAATAAATCTTAAACAAATTTCTAATAGGAAAAAAAACCACATAAACGTATTACAAATCACCCATCTAGCTACGGTTCACTCTTTTATGTCCTTTGCCCTTCTTGTGTCTCCTTGGAAGTCACCACCTTCTGAGGTCTTGGTCAACAGACTTCAGACTCTTCCTGCTCTTTTGCTCCAAGTGCAACTTTCAGGACCACAGCCTGTGGGCAGCTCCTCGGCTCTGCCTGAGGCTCCGAGTAGAGAGAGTCCTTGTGGTTTTGATTGATTTCTCCTCCTGAATTCCACCTTACTTTTTCTTTTCTCCAGTGGAGAGACTCACTGCTTCTTAGAGCTCTTCCCGCCACGGGTGTCGAACTTTTGATGGCTTTTCAGGGGCTGGAGGGAGAGAGCTGTACCTGTAGGAGCTGAGTGGTGAAGAGGAGCAGAGAAGCTTAGAGAGAGGGTGGGAGAAAGGCTCGAGAGGGACAAGAAAGGGGAGAAAAAGCTGTTGATTGGAGGCTGAAATAAGAGCATCACAACAGTTATTTCAGCACTCAGAATAAAGCATGGTGCGTTTGATTACCAGGATTTAGAAAACTGAACTTGTAGTCACTAATGACGTAAGAATAGCTACTAATATTTATGGAGTTTTTATATTTAATATTTAGTATCAGACACCATGCTAGGTGCTCTGAAAACCCTATGGCCTTTTAAAATAGGCCCTTGTTTGATGGTCAGTCATTATCAGAAACTCCAGACTTGCCTACTGGTCCCGTTTGGATTACATTGAACCCCCCTGGCTAATCCAGGATAATGCTCATACTGTAAGGGATTAACAACCTTAATTGACCAACCTTAAAACCTGTACCTGAAGTCTAGCTGGTCTTCTTTTTGTATTTCTTTCAGGGCCCTCCATGGTTTTATGTTTTATTTGTATTCTCTGTCTTGGCTCAATGTCTCAAATTCCTCTTTATTTTTCAAAGTTAAATTCAAGTCATATCCTTTCCATGAAGCATTGGCTACTCTGGTCAACATACTGGCCTCTGCCCATAGCTTGGATAATCTTTGGCATATGGTGTTCAACGTATTTATTAGGCATTATATATTATTTCCTGGGTATTTTCTGTATGTCTTAGCCTTCCGAGGCATATGCTTCTTGAGACAAAGGATATTTTTGTGTCTTTTCTAACATGATGCATTGTTATTAACACTCAATAAATGTTTGTTGATTGGCTGAAGGTGAGTCTATAGAAATATATGAGACACGTGCTTGGTAGGAGAGGTTTCCTCATTTATAATAACCATAAAAAAATCTAGCATACTGAGTATTTTCAATGACCTGGACTTGAAGATCCTTCCTTTCTATACCTCTTCTTTCATCTTAGTCTCCCAGCCTCGTCCCTACCCTGCCGATGCACATCTAGAACCATTTAGTTGTTCAGAAGGCCTTGTGATGACATGCCAGCTGGCCTTTACCTTCTAAAAGTTCTCATATTACAAAATGCATTATTCTCATCCTGTTCTCTTTGCACATTTAAAATCTCTCATTCCAGCTTTGAACAACTAACCCAATTTGAATAATTCATGTGATATTATGAAAGACATAAGGCAATTTTAACCATTCTGATCTTTTATTTTCTAACGAATATCTTATTTAAAAAACTTAAACTGAGGAATTTATGTGGTTTATGAAAACATCCGCCGCCTTCTCACCTTGCCCTTTCTGCTAATGAGTCTCTTGGCACTTCCCATTGAACAGTTCACAGCTCTGCTTTATTGAGAAATGGAACACAGACTTGTTTTAGTGGCCATACTATGATAGAAAAGCAGACTTGAGAAACATAGCCTCCACTCTCAACTCAGAGTGACTTTCTGTTGCTTTAGTTTGCATGTTATATCTCATGTGCTTTCTTCAGCAATTTCTTTCCTGTAAGTATGAATGCACACACACATACACACAGATGCATGTAAATATGTATATATTCATTTTTGGTCAGCCAGTCAACAAACATTTATTATTAACAATAGTGCATCATGTTGGAACATATATATATATGTATATATATGAATGTATATGTACAGAATACACATACACACACACACATACACACACACACACACACACACACAAATTGATGTGATTTTGTTGAGTGGAGATGGGTGAGGTTGGAAAAGGGAGGGGAACGTTAGGGGACACTATATTCCTACCTCTGATTTCCTTCTCTGCATACATGTTGAGGAGTGTTATAGTTTGAACGTGTCCCCTCAAAAATTCAGGTGTTGAAACTTAATGGCCAAAGTGATGGCATTAAGAGGGACCTTTAAGAGGTGGTTAAGTCATGAGGGCTCCTCCCCTCTTGAATGGGATGAAGAGCCTTATAAAAGGGGCTTCCTGCAGTGTTGCCCTTTTGCCTGCCCTTTTGCCTTCCACACTGTGAGGGCACAGCATTCCTTCCTTCAAAGTGCCACAGCTCTCAAGACAAAGAAACAAGCTTGCACCTTGACCTTGATCTTCCTAGCCTCCAGGACTGTGAGAAAATCGATTTCTGTTTTTTACAAATTATCTGTTCTGTGGCATTTTGTTCTAGCAGCACAGATTAAGACAAGGAGGTTAAAGAAGTGGTGTGGGAAGTAGGTTTTGTAAAATGCCATCACACATCTGGACTATTGAGATGCATCCATGGCAACATGAATGATAGAAACCTGATTATGGGAGAAAACTGACCAAAGCTTGGGAACTCCAGCATAGTTGAGAGAGTGTTCTGTTCTTCTGAAGTAGCTCCGAGTGACTCCAAAGCCACATGCATTTGGTTTTAGCTTTGAGTCTGCTACTTTGTGAGTGGAGTGACCTTGGATGGGTCTCTCAGGGTGCCTGGGCTCCATGGTCATCATCTGTAAAATGGGGCTGATAGTACTTACCTTGAAGGGTTAGGAAGAGCACAAGTTTAATGCCTGTTACCTGTTTGATATTAAGTAAGTAGGATACATTGTTTCTGTGACATATTCATGTGATCATACATTCCCAGAATGACTTCATATGCAAAGGGATCTGCTTCAAAGAGGTTGGGGCAATTGACTGTGAAAATGACTATGGAAGACCAAATGTGGTGCTGGATGAATTCCCCATAGACTAAAGGGACAGTTTGGGTTTGAGTTCACTGGATGAGGGCTGTGTGCTTTACTTGACCAGACTAGCCTGCACCTGAGTTGACCTCATGGGTTGCATTGGCTGCTAGTTGAACTGTGACGGTTTTCTGAGATCTTGGTGGCCTCTAATCCCATCTCCAGGTGGACAGAGATGAGCTGAGGCACAGATGTGTTGGCCACTGTTCCTGGCCCTGGGTGATTAGGCTTCCACTGGGACACTGGCTAGAGTGAGAACTTAGCAGCTCATGTGGCTACAGTTGCTTCATTACTGGACGTGCCTTGCTGTTAAAAAAGTAGGAGGGGTTGACTGGTTTCCATAATTGTCTTCTTAGGAGGTATTGAGGAAACTTTAAGTTTAATAAACATTGCTGAGTGTTACATGTAACAAAAAAACAAATCAAGAGAAACTATAGTATATTTTATATACTTACGTATTTTATATTGTGTTTACCTATACATGCAAGCATATACACTCTATAAACATTGTATACGTGTGTGTGTGTGTGTGTAAAATATGTCCCTTTGGAAATTATAATATGCTGTATTTGAAAAGTAGACTGTGATTTGATATGTAAAATGAAAAAACTAACTTTGTTTCATTCCGAGTAACTCAGACAAACCTTCACAAGTAGATACTACAAAGCCTCAAAGGCAGCAGTAAATTCCTCTTGTTGATTTAAATCCCATTAGAGTCCACACTTG